TGGGGGCGTGTTAGAACGAGCCGTTTTAGGGGGGCGTGGCAGAGTCTTAACTTTGATAAAGTATATCTCTTTGGTTTTGAGACTTTAGTCTTTGCAACTTCAGGGATCTTATCTATGCACAATCAGCTTGTAACACTCCAAAGAGAAAGGAAAACTTGAAATCGCATCATATGACCCCTTTAATGGCTGAAAGGTATGTATGTGTTGTGTGTCATCTGTCTGATGTTGACCTGGATAAGCAGGAAAGAGCAAACAGATCATAAAAAGCCATAAAGTCTGTGTTTATTGTCCAGAGCTAACCAGCTCAACAGACACGGCACTCTCTCTCATGTCCACTCATTCTGTGTTTTTTCTGTCTGTATGCATCTGAAAATCTGCTTATGCATTGTTTTTTCCTACATATATGGATATCCAGATGGTCTGCTGTAGAATTCTTCAATATTTTTAAATGCACATCCATCTCTGAGTCTCTTTCCAGCTCTTTCTTATCCAGTGAATCTTGAACCTGTTTACCTTAGTGTGATCTGGATCTATTTATCTCTCTATCTATCTATCTATCTATCTATCTATCTATCTATCTATCTATCTATCTATCTATCGTTCTATCTATCTATCTATCTATCTATCTATCTATCGTTCTATCTATCTATCGTTCTATCCATCATTCTATCGTTTCTTCTATCAATTTTTATTTTTTTTTTTGGTTTCTGTCACTTTGTGTTGGTTGCAGACATCACTGTGTTTTTTCAGCTGGTTTCTTGTCTTGCTTCTGGCCACAACATCATTAGATTTTCATCACTGCATTCATTTTAGAAGAAATTGAGAAATCAACAACTGGTTTACGTAACATCACAAATCCACTTGATTCACAGACAAAAAAGGGCCATGCTAATGAAACGTCAGTGCGTCATATGAACTTTTCAAAGTCAGTGAGGCAGAAAAAGTTTCTTCCCGTCCAAGTCAAAACTCACAGAGCATAACCCATTTCCCAAACTCCTCTATTCAGTCATATTCATAACTATAATCTGTGGCAGTTGACTCTACGAGCGGATGAGGAATCCTATCGTCTCCCTGAATGGATCTTAATCTCACATATGTTTCCTCTGTTGTGTTTTTTAACATATTCTGCTTTGACTGATGACTTTATGTCCTGTTCCTGCTTGTTGACTTGTTGATTTGTTCGCAGGACTGAGATAAGAGTCCAGAAATGTGGAAGTTATATGGTGTCACGTACAGGCCCTGTTTACTATTAAATATAAAGTGTGCAACATCTATGCGACTAGTGGCACAAAATGGAATTGTAATCTATTTCTTCTTTATTTTTTAGATAATAATAAACCTATTGCGTGTTTGGAGTGACACTACTTGTTGAGTTTATTTGTTAACTTGTTTGGTGCTACTAATGGTGCAGAAATGGCCCACTTCGCTTTTAAATACACTTGTAAACAGGGTCCAAAACATTCTGTGACTCACTCAAACCACTTTAAGAGCTGATTATTTCCAGATTCCCTAATGCATGGTTCTGGTTTGTCCGTTGAGTTGTTTTCTCTCTGAGGGGGGTGAAGATCTGCCTTGTTTTGTCCTTTGCACCTCAGTGTGGGGCCGTCTGATAAAACTGCATTGGTATGTGGTTGTGTGTTTAAGGAGCAGATGATAATGTGGCACTGCAGGAGAGATCCTTCAGACTGTGATGTAAAAGTCTA